GGGATCCTAGCCCATGCCCGACCGTCCTCCGCTGTCATCATGCCCTGCAAACGATCCTGCAGAGCGAGCAACCTCTCCAACATGGAGTACACGGACGCAAAGCGCATCTCGCATGAAAGCACGAGGCCCAACATCGCACTCCGCTCCGGAAAGAAGCTGAGAGCGGCCTGGTGGGTTTTGAAAAACACCATTAGAACTCGGGCACGCGTGATCGTGTCCACGAAAGAGGTGCAGATCGTGCCAATGTATGACATTAACTTGTTGCAGACATGGACGCAACACGRGAGCCAAGTGATCCTCCTCAGCTCAGGGGGCATAGATGGCGAGGCTAGAACCCTCGCATCCCCCACGTATGCAGAGACGGAGTAAGTGCATATAGCATTGACCCGCTGTGGGCCACCGAATCTGAAATCATGAAAGATGGCGACCCATCTCTGCAGGACGTGCACCGCATCGTCCGGCTCCCCCTCTCGGTTGATCGTTGTGTACATGACGACCCCTCGAGCCCCAACTGCGAGGAAGTTCACGATCGGTCGCCCATCTCGTGACTTCCTCCCGTCAGAGAGGAGGGTGGCGCCACTCACCCATAATGGCTGCCTAACCTCCTCCAACTCCTCCGCCAACTGCTCGCGGTGGATCTCCACAGTTCGCATGTCTGCGATCTCACAGTGGGATGGAAGCACGGGAAGAGGTGCTCCACCAGGTTGCCGAAGAGCAACCTGCTGGAGGTCCCGGTACGGTGTGTTGCGGAAGGCATTGAAGGCAATCCCGCTGGAATACACCCAGCGAAAGAATGCCTTCCTCCACTCACCAATCCACTCACCACCATACGTGTCCGTCATTTTCTGTTGCCGCAGCCTCTTCCCTGCACTGGTGCTAGAAAACTGCGCACCCCCCTCCTTCCTCTTCGAAGAACCCGACGTGCTTGCTCTATCACGAACAACACTCTTCGAAGAACTCGGCGTGCATGTCGTCTCAGGCGGGACGGCCTTCTTCCCGCACCTCCGCTCCCAGTCCACCGCCCTCTGATGAGCCATCGGATCGGACTTCGGCACGCCCCCCTCTCCCCTCGGTGTCCGCTCCCCCTCGGCCACGCCAACCTCAAGGTCAATGTGTGCCTCGTCCTCCTCCGCGGCACCCGCACCCTCCCCATATCTCGCAACACCTCCCTCCACATAACGCTCGGTATCCTCTCCCTCGCCCACGCCCTGTGCAAGACGCTCCGCCTCGCCACCCATCGCACCCGACCGCGGGACATCGAGACCACACTCGTGTGCGAACCGCCGCACCCTCTCTACCTGATCGGCCTCGAAGCTGTGTGTGCATTTCTGCGCAATCTGGTACAATGCATCATCGGACACCTTCTTGCAATAATTCTGCTGGGTGAAGTGTTTCGTTGCGTAGAATTGGGTTCCCTGAAACACCTTATTGCAGAAGGTGCACCGTAGCATATTAACCCCTCTGTTGTCGACCTTCTGGCCGACAACAATGTAACGGTACACAATAGATTTGCACATATAATCCTGCTGCACTTGTTCGGGCGCGGGCTCATGTTCGCGCGTCTGTTTTCGCGGCATTGTGAACCCCCCTTAAAGCCGTGCCCGTCCGGTCGTAAGCGCCTCCCCTCCGACACCTCGTGCCCAGCGGCGCCACAGAGAAGGACGTATTCCCGGCCTGCCCCGTCCCAACCAAGTAACACCCGCCCTGTTTCTCCCCGTTGAAACCCCGTTGAAAATTCCGGACCCCGTTGCAACCCCGTTGCAACCCCGTTGAAACCCCGTTTGCTCCCGTTGAAACCCCGTTTGCTCCCGTTGAACCCCCGTCCTTAGGCACTGGTCAACGGGATCCACCGGCGACGACGATCGGTCGGGGATGTCGCTTGCACCAACACAAAATAAAACAAACAATCAATCAAACAATCAATCAAACAATCAATCAAACAATCAAGAAAATGGCCCAAACCGTCAATCAATCAAAAAATCAAACCAACAATCAATCCATCCATCCATCAATCAATCAATCAACATCTTGCTGGATTGATTGATTGATTGATTGATTGATTGATTGATTGATTGATTTTGTATTTTTTATGTTTTTTTTTTCCTTTTTATTTTTCATGTGCGTGTGTGTGTGCTTGTGTGTGTGT